TATAAGGTGGCCATGTGCAATTTCTCTGCACTAACTTGAAGGGAGTGTTGACAACCATATTTTATTATTTAATTATTTTAATTTATTATTTAATTAGTTAATTAAAAATAATAATCTCATATAATTAGGATTGTAATATAATAGTTATTTTCTAATTAGTAGGTTAGGAATTCTATAATACCCTAAATGTAATAATTTAAAGGGTGAGAAAAAAAATTATTTTTTCTTCAAAAATCAACAAAGGGTAAAGAGGATACCTTGGAGGTGAACCGGCACGTTTTCGAACCGCCCTTGACATCTTATCGGGCTATTATTCGCGACCTTGATAAAGAAACTCTGAGTTGGAATCATCGGAAGCTTGAGCATACTTGTGACTTGCTCACTGATGACCTTGGGAGTTAAGCTGCTATCAACGAGGACGACGACGCAGTGGTTGCAGATAGTTGCCTCTATCCGCATTGTCTTGGCCGCTGACCAGCCAGTGAGTGCATGAAAGGAAATCTCGGGTTCTCCCGCATTTGACCCGTCGTCTCCTTCCTCTTTGGCCCCATCAAAGAGCAGGAGCTGCGGCCAACAACATCAGTGGCCGGCGGTGAATTTTTCATTGCATCTGAAGCAGAGGCCGAGCGATCGACGCCTCTGCATTTCTTCCCATGATAGGTGTCGTGGGGTAGCTTCAGTATTCTGGGTTGGGGGGCGATCGAGTTGCGTCCGACTTCGATGAATCTTCCCCGCCGGCCCAGTTGCTCTTCCCTCATGCGGGCCAAGGTGATGACCTCTTTCAAGGATTTGGGCCGAAACATCTTGATGCCTTATGCGATCTCGGGCTTAAGCCTGCCGATAAAGGTGCCCATTAGAACCTTTTGGGTCCAGCTCTGAACCTTATTCCCCAACCTTTCAAATTCTTTTTGATATTCCCTCAGGGTCTGATCTGCTTTACCCTAGATAAAACCTCATCAAAGTCTTTACAATCAGTTGACCCAAAGCAAGCCCATATTTCTTCTTCAAACCCCGCCCACGCCACCATTTTCCCTTCTTCTCTATAAGTCCGATGAAGCTATTGCCACCACTGGCTGGCTTCACCCTCTAGGTGGAAAGAAGCTAGTTGCACCTTCAGCTCGGGAATGCCTTGGTAGCCGAAGAATTGCTCGGTGCGACTAAGCCCTTCGGTTGGGTTGTCATCAGCAAATATGGGGAACTCAAGCTTTGCGAGCTTCAAGAAAAAGGGCTAATGGCCCCCGTCGTCTCTTTTGGTGCCATCGTCACGGAGTGGTTGCGTCAGTCCAGGCCGACTTGAGTGTTGCTGTTGGACCCTTCGCGGTTTGTCAACAGAGTATCCATCAACCGCTTGAGGGTATCCTCCATTTGGTGAAGCTTATCGACAACTCTCAACTCCATTCGGCTAAAGCTGTCTTGCAGTCCTCTGACACTAGTTTCCAATTGTTCAATCATCTTTTTGTTAAACATGACTTTGATACCAAATGCTAGGTCTTAGTCAGAATCAAGAAGAGTTAGAAATGAATTTGCTTCTATTTAGGGCTAGAATTACCACAGAATATTGCTATAAAAAATGATATGCTTTATTCATAATCTAGGGAGCTTAAATAAAAAAAATTACAACAGTTTTTCCTATTATCCAGGAGCACAGCGGGTAGTAACGGAAAGATAGTGATTCTAACGTAAATAAGGGATAACAAAAAATCAGAAAAGAAGACGCTTTTACCGCTTCTTGCGGAGTTGTGGCGTGTTTAATTTCCCATGTTTTCCATGTTGGCGATGTCGAAATATCTGGGATTCTTCACTGGTGTTCTTAGAGATCTTCTTATCCTATCATTTAATTTTCCATGTTTGATTTGGTGCTTATGGTTCGAGGAATGAATCATTTTTTTTTTCTCTTTGTTTCGAGTTATAGTTCATTTCTCCCTTAGATTCATAAACGGGAATGAGGTATGTTTTTTAGTGACTTTAGTAATGAATGTCACATGGACGTGTACATATGTTAAAATGATTTGCCTACACTAGTACGACGAATGTATTACACTTTCTATCCTAGGCAATTCAAAAATCTATATCTCAGTTTTAGCTAGTGCCTTCTTTATGCGATTGATCTCACTTTTAATAAGACTGGTAACGTTATTAGATGAATAGTGATTTTATTTTAATTTTTTTGGAGTGCATCAATGTAACCATTGCAACGGCCTTATTGGCCATCCTCCTCCTGTATTATCCTCTACTTTAGCCAAATCATCTTATTTATAGTTTTCATGAATGTTTAATGTAGTTTGGATGCTGAGACATAGATGATTAGTGCTTAATTTATACTCTTAATGGTTTGAGTCTGCGTATCTCATGGAGGTTGATGCAAAAGTTTTCTTGGTAATTCTTGATTTTCATAATCTTACATCCTATTATAAACAATCTAATTTTTTTGAGGCTGAGGATACTTCTGAAAATAGAAGTATTGTACGCAACTTAGATCTGTAAGAAAGTGGTATTAAAGATCCATGAAGAACAGAGGGAGTATTGGAGGTGGATCTGTCAGTAATTATTGAGTGTTTTAAGAGTATATATGAATAATGAGTTGCAAAACCCTATAAATATAAGCGTCAGTTGTCAATAATTATTCTAGAGTATGTAAAAAGTTATGGAAGGAAATTTAAAGTCTGCCAACCCATTTGTGTTTCCAGAGTATCTTTTGTTGTGGGAATTATGAGTGTTGACTGAAGAATTTTAATTTGGCTACCACATTATTACCATATAATCACTATTTTAGATGATGTGGTGTTTAGGAGTCAATTTTTGTTACATTAAACAGAAACACTAACTGGAGGAGTAAATTGGGTGTAAAATGTGTACTTCCTTAATCTTAAAAATTAGAAGTCAATATGAATTTAAAATTAACAACATTTTTTAAAGATCTGACTGTTAAATCAGAGGACATTATGGCACCTTTATGTATTTTTAACTTTTTGTTGTTTTGATTTAACATCGCAGAATTTTGTGAAAGCTCTATCTGGCAGGATTATTATCTTCAAGGTGGAAAGCTCAGATACAATCCACAATGTGCAAGCCAAGGTACCAGTCAAGGGAACCCACCTGACTAGCAAAGACATATTTCTGCAAGTAACCACAATTTCAAGCTCCCTTGTGCCATAGGCTTCATGAGAAGCCTTTTCTGGATCAGGAAATCAAAAATTTTCTTTCAAACCGTTCCTTTTCATAAACGCCAAGTTCATCTGTTCAGACCATATTCTTCTTCGCTTTCTAATTTGTTGGTGGGAAAGGACCCAAGTGTCATCTTCAGTGCCCTTTCTCTCTCTGAGAGTACCAAATCCCACATTCTTGGAACCCAAGTCCATGGGCATATTGTCAAGTTAGGATTGATAAAAGACATATTCTTGCAGAACAATTTGATAAAAATGTACTCTAGATGTGGGATTTTATCTGATGGGCTTAAGCTGTTTGACGAAATGCCCCAAAAGAATCTCGTTTCTTGGACTCTGACAATCTCAGCCACATTCCAAATAGGGGAATTCGATTTGGGTCTAGAGATCTTTTTGGACATGGTAAGAACTGGTTTTGTGCCAAATGAGTATGCTCTTGGTAGTGTTGTGAAGGTGTCATCTATACTGGGTGCTATTGAATTTGGTCTGTTTCTGCATTGTATTGCTTTGAAAATCTGTATGGAGAAAAATCCTTTTGTTGGTTGTTCCATATTGGACTTCTATGGTAAGTTGGGGGATATCGAGGCTGCTGAAAAAGTGTTCGACAGTGTGGACAGTCTTGATGTTGCTTCCTGCAATGCTATGGTTGGAGCGTATGCACAATGTGGGTATGGCTTTGAAGCAATGAAACTTATTTCATCAATGGTACGTAAAGAAGTAACAATGGATAAGTATAGCTTCATCAATGCTCTTCAAGGATGTTTGGTTACAGGTGATTTAAATTTTGGAAGACAAATTCATGGATTGATCATTTGCAGAGATGTGGAAAGTTGTTCTGTAATGAATGCTCTCATGGATATGTATATCAAATTTGGTGGAATGGACATTGCTTTGAAGATTTTTAGAAGAATTGCTAACAAAGATGTTGTGTCTTGGAATACTTTGTTGGGAGGTTTCTCTCAATATCCAGAGGTTGTTGCATCTTTCTTCCATGACTTAATGCTGACAAGTGTGAATCCCAATCATGTGACTTTCTCAATCTTATTTAGACAATGCGGTGAACTTTTTGATATCAATCTTGGGCTTCAGTTTTACTCAGTTGCTTTGCATCTTGGACATTTAGATGATGCGACTGTCACAAGCTCATTGATTGATATGTTCTCTATGTGTAAAGCAATGGAAATGGCACAGCTAGTATTTGATAGTGCTGTTTTCAAAAACATAATTAACTGGAATGGGTTAATTTCAGGTTACAATTTGAATTGTTGTTACAATAAGGCCTTACAGACTTTCTGTAATTTATGGGAGTTAGGAGTAGGAGCAAATGATTTTACCTTCTCCAATATTTTGGAAGCATGCGGGTCCTCGGGCAACCAACAAATGGTCAGGCAGATTCATGGTGCCATATTGAAGTCTGGTTTTGCTCATAAATATGCTTGCAGTTCACTAATTGCAGCATATGTTAAATTGAGATTACTAGATGATTCTTTTGAATTTTTCACTGGATCGGAGAGATTAGGTATAGTGCCCTGGGGAGCCATAGTATCTGCTCTGGTACATGAAGGTTATAGTTATGAAGCTATCAGATTCTTCCATGCTCTTACAGAAGCTGGTGAGGTGCCTGATGAATATATTTTGGCTAGCATTTTGAACAGCTGCGCTGATATAGGAGTATATACACAAACTAAATCTATTCATTCATTTGTTATCAAGTTGGGATTTGATACACAGGTTTATGTAATTAGTGCTCTAATAGATGCTCATGCCAAATGTGGGGACATTAAAAATTCAAGGATAGTGTTCAATCAGTCACTTGAGTCCAATGACACCATTATGCATAACACCATGATCATGGCTTATGGCCATCATGGTCTTGTTTTGGAAGCTATGGAAATCTTCAAGAAAATGAAGTTGGCTAAACTACAGCCCAGCCATGCTACGTTTGTTTCACTGGTATCAGCTTGTAGTCATGCAGGTCTCGTTGAACAAGGTCGTCTTTTGCATGAATCAATGAAGTTGGAATATGGAATAGAACCAAATCCAGATAATTATGGTTGCTTAGTTGATCTGCTCTCACGAAGCGGATTCATTGAAGATGCTAAGAGAATAATTGAAGAAATGCCTTTTCCTCCTTGGCCTGCTATTTGGAGATCTCTACTTAGTGGTTGCATGAAGCATGGTAGTAGAGAGATGGAGAAATGGGCTGCCCAAAAGCTGCTTCAGTTGGCTCCGGAGAATGATCCGGCACATGTATTACTGTCAAAGTTTTATTTTGGATCAGGCAATTGGGAAAATGCTGCAATGGTGAGGAGAGGGGTTATGAAAGACCCTGGATGTAGTTGGATTGAGACAACGTAGAAAAAAGATCCTACTTTCTGAGTAGACTTTAACAATTCTCTCAGTGGAGCTACTTCGGTAGTTGGTGATTTCAATCAGGAAAAGCACTTACATTGGCATGAGAAGACTACGTAAGCTGAACTACATGCCCATATATATATATATATATAATATTTCTCAATTGGTCTCTTTCAGTCTCCCTGATGATGTTTATCTTTTTTATTCCAGGGACAGAAAAAGATTCCCAACTACATGTTATGATCATCTCATCTTGCCTTGTGGAGGCACTAACTAAGCAGGTTGTCTCTTTCCTTCTTCTTGGGAGCTTTCTTGGGGTAAGGAGGAAGTATATGTGATGAAACAAAAACCACAATGTTGTGTACATCAGCCCTAGCTAGAGATTTAGTGTTTGAATATTAACTCCTACTCTATTTATATCAAGATAACGTAAGATGAGTGTGCACTTGATTTATGTAAAATAGCTTATGAGTGTTAATATTTAAGTAGTAGATTATATCCTTTTTCAAATGATGTTTATATATCAGTTCATGCTAGAAAACTGGACCATACCAGCATGGTCACTCTGCAACGAAGCAAACTAAAGGATCAGGAAAATAGAGATTGATAAAATAGATCTAGTCGTGAGTTTGTACTGAAAAACTAAATTGTACAAATGTATTCAGTCGGAACCAGATCAGAATAAGAAGTTTTTAGTTTTGCCCTCAGTTCAAGAGAGTAGAGACTGATGAAATTGATCTGAAACTAGACTGAACCGATTAATTGAATATAAACCGCCCGAGAGTTCTTGAATTTTGTCAGTTTATATAGACTGTTAAGAGTCCAAAGAAAAAATTTCAGCCATATATAATTCTTTTTTCTTTTTTCAAAAAACTAAGGATGTCTATTGAATCTTTAATTTTTTATTAATTAATTTTAATTATACACTTCTTCATGTTGATTTATCTTAAGACAATAAATTAATTAGTATTGCTTTTACTAAATTACAGGACTGCCACTGAAATTAACTTTTATGTTTTAAAATTAAATTACAAAACTGTCACTAATCCATTTCCTTCTACTTAATTACAGATTAATACTCCATTTTTTTTCTTTTTCGTTTTTTAGATTTTACTTTTAGGGTATTTAAATGTTTTTAATTTTAGTTTTTTTCTAATTTAATTTTAGATTTTTAAAAATAATCGGAAAATATTTTCCATTATTTTACAAATAGAAAAAATATTTCTTCATATTTATTTTTTAATTTTATAAATTATTAAGTATAATGATCTAGAAATAATTTAATTTGAGGTTTGTACTGAGTTTATGTACAACTAAAAACCAATAAATATAGAAGTAAAATAAAAAGAAAATGAGTTCCCTTCCTTCTGGAGTTCTCGCGTCACTCTCTCCCTTGATTCTTCCCAAAAACCCTAATCCCTAATTTCTATTCTCCAAATTTACCACATACCTTCATCCACTCCACCGCAATCTCTCCCAGCTGCCACTGAAATTTATACCCGAACAACCCTCTTCTTTTGCCTTCGTCGACTTCATGAAAGCTTCCTAGGTTCTTACATCAATTTCAACTAACTTCTTTCACCGTCAGACTTCTTCCTTCACGGCATTTCCCGGTCTTTTTTTTACTCTGTTTCCCTCGTTCACGCGATTTCATCACTTGCTGGATTCGTACCCGATCTTTACTCCTGTGGTCACCAAACAGGTATCTGTAAAAGGTAATTGCTTTATTTCCATCGCTCCCACATGGTTGAAGATTCGAAAAAAGAAACGTAGATTATTTTTGTTTATTCGTTTTGACTCATTTATGCTCTTTACCCACATTTGCGGATGTGACCTATTGGGTTTCTTTTTTTGAGGATCCTGGATATCTGTAGGAATTTTGTGCGGTCGATTGTTTCTCTTTGCTGTTATGGTTTCTCTTTAACTTGCTTTCATTTTTCTCTTTTTTTTTTGTATTTGACTATTGAAATATAACGCAAAGTTAAGGTTCATGCTACCTTGCTTTGATGTGAATGAGATAAACCGTTTGCTTATAGCGTTTAAGATCGCATACATTGAGATCTAGCCGTTTGAATCTTATGGGAAAATGCTTGGTTAATACTTATGAATGCGTGAACTCTGTAAAGCCGATTGATGCATGAACACTCTGTCTCATAGCTGAAGGCTCCATTTCGGTGTAATAAATTTTATGCATGTTTTCTAAAAAGAAGCCATACATTATCCAGGAGATACCCTTTTTTTTTCTTAATTCTGTTTGAATGAGGATGTGATTTTCTTGCTGTCAGTCCTGCAATTTTCTTTTTTTCACCTTGTTCCTTTCCCGGTATGCTTGCTTGCTTTGAAATTTGGAGAATGTCATGCTGTAATGGCCTATTTCCCTTGCTGGATTGAATGATCATAATAATACATGAGTAATGACTGATGACTCTGAAAGGACCAGGATTGGTGTAAATCGAGATCAAGTAAAAGCATAATCCTCTTGTCAGAGGTTAAGTAAATAAGAGCAAACTTAGTTTTGGCATTAACATTATGTTGATTGTGCATTAGGTTTAGGATAGATTGGCGAAGAGAACACATTGGGAATTAGATTTGTTTGCTTCATATGTGATGTTGATTTATTATCCAATGCCTGTTTTAATTTTGAAGCTTGATTTATTAAAACTGTTCGGGAGTTGGTTAGTTCGTTTTTTTCCACAATGTGTTGTTCTTTAATTTTTCTTGAAACTAATTATTTAAAATTTACATCTGCATGCATTCTGGGTAGATTCTTGAGCGTAAGATTTAATAGAAACAAAAACTCTGTTGAGTAGCCAGATAGACGCAGCTAGCCTCTGTTAGAGAGTATTGAGTGTCCACGTTTCTACAGATAT